ATAACAAATACGTTAATACTAGTCACCAATAATTTAAATACATTTTAGATAACTTTCATTCTTGCCGGGCCTCTTGGCTGATTATAATGAATCAAAATTTGTCTTATGATTAGAATAAATATTAATTAAAAAAATTTAGCCTGATTTAAATGTTATTACATACTTTTCCAATGAGAGAAATGAATCTGATGTATGAAAATAGATATTGACATGTTATTATCAAACGTACGTATTTGTTTTGTAGACCACAAGAAATAAATAAAAATAAATATATAAGAAAATAAATAAATAAATTAATAAAAATTCATTCCTCTGACTATTTGTATTATCAATGACTTTACGTTTCAATCAGTATTAGTTCTTCTGATCTGAACCTGTTATGTCATCTATTACCATGCTTCTGCAACCAATATACTTAGATCCAGAAAATTTGCGGATTTATCCAAAAAGCTAATATCTAGATATTGTAGTTGTAAAATAAAAAATAATGATGTGAAATTATTTATATGCACGTAGAGACGAGTAGAGTTAAATTATACAATAACATGCATATATTAAGTCAGTAGATTATATGATATATACAATTACTGAAAATACAACCTCTATTATTATAGAATTATTTTTTGTATATATATGAGCTTGATACTGTTGACGAAGAGGCCCGGCAAGAATGTAAGTTATCTAAAATGTATTTAAATTATTGGTGACTAGTACTCAACGTATATATTACAAATAACATTTTATCATTCATTTTTATTCTATCACTTCTTCCAAAACTCTAAGTATTCCAATGTGTAATTTTTAGAATTGTGATAATGAATATATTTAAAAATAAATACATTACTTGTTCTATGACATTAAATATGAAAGCTATTTTGAACTACATTTTTCAGCATCCGATCTATTTTCAAATAATATATCAGTCTCATTGATTTGCTAGTTGTTGGAAGAGCTCGCTTTATTTATACATAGGCACTTATATATATATATATATATATATATATATATATATATATATATATAATTAAGGGACACAAGATTATTAACTGAGCTCTTTATTATTAACTGTTAAATATAAATATAGGATTAAGAAACACTGCGCACACTGTTAAGTTACAATTGAACTAGAAGAAACTCTTAAAAGTTTTCTCAAAGACTAAACGTTGCTTTCGTAATCAGCGTTATTCAGAAAGTGAGAGAGAGCATTTTATTCTCTAGTATATTAGAAGAATATGGACCTGTAATACCTCGATTTCTAGAAAAAGAATCACAACGTGAAACAGCAAGTGCAAACGAATCTCGTTTAGTCACAAAAATACGATGGAAACCCATGAAAGAACGTCGATTTTCAACGATTAAGGAGATAAAAACTGCATCGCTGAAAGAACTCAAGGCTATACCTCAAAATAATTATCAACAGTACTTCTATGATTAGAAAAAGCGCTGGCAGAAGTGTATTATATCTATAGCGAGGATTACTTTGAAGGGAACAACATAAATCTTGCCCAATAAATGAATATTTTGAGAAAACCATAAAGTCATTTTACTTTTTGAACACCCCTCGTATATACGTATATAATTTTTACAATTTTTTGTCTCGAGTCACCGCGATTTGATCTTAAATGACCTTCAAGCTGACGTGATAAAGGTCAACCGACATCAGTTTCGTTATTAGTGACATAAAAATCCTTTTATACTTTTGCAATAAAAAAAAAATATTCCAAATCTGAAATGTGGTTTTTAAAGGGAAAAGATGTTACTTTATGAAGGTATGACTTATTTAAGAAAAGAAAATTTACTCACGATGTTATGTAATCTCGAATATTGAAAGAAATAGTGTTTTTAGCACTTTTAGGTTAGGAATTTCAGAAACCTAGAGTGATAGATCAATTCTGAGGCTGAATTCGAATTGAACTTATCACAAACCTTCAAATACGTATAATCTGTGTTCTAGCTGTTTTTCTTTGTCGGCCTATGTTATGTAGGGACCGGCATACTCTGGCGCAAAATCTGCTACTATTCCTCGTGCGAAGTTCGAAATAATCTGATTATTTTTCAGCATCCAGTCCCTGATATTGAATGTAGCTGGCTTAGGTTTCACTTATACGTCCATTCTTCTTATCCGGCGCTTTCCCGCGCCTTGTGGACGAGGGCCAATTTATTCGTCATACAGTACTGCTCAATGACATTTGCCAGCCTGTTGACTAAAAACCTAAAACTTGAAAGTTTTGAATCTCGACTTAGGGTAGTTGAAAAAAACCCTGCAGCTACTTATTTTGTAAGGTTTTCTAGTACCTATCAAGTGGTGTAAGCTATATATCTGTTTTTTAATATTTTTTCCAAAACTATGACGTCAGAAGTAAAAAATAAAATTGATTTTTTTTTGCCAAATTTAATGAGATATAATTTAAAGAGAAGTGATGGAAGATAAAACTTTCTTTACCATTTGAAAGCTTGTCCCAATTGTTATAAAACTCATGTTTAAAAAATTTATTTTGGTACGATTTTTTTAAGCTATATCGTATTTTATTGAAAAACAGATGTTACAAATCGAATCGTTATATCTCGGAAAATATGCTCTTTACAAAAAAACTAAAGAAAATAATTGTTGCATTTTGATAAAAAAAAACATTTATAAACTCATAAAATAATAGAACAAATTTTTTTTTCTTTTTTTTGATTTGGAATTTTTTACATTTTTGAAAAAAAAAACATTCAAAATTTAATTATTAAGGTAAATGAATAATGAGACGTATAAAAATGAGTTATTAACTATAGATATTTCTATTTATTTGTATACTTCTTTATTACAATTTTTCAAGTAACAATTGTTTATAAATTGTAAATAAATTTTTAATTAACAGTTATAGAATTATAAGTAATTTTTACATTTCAAATAAAGTCACTGTATAATGTGAATATTCCAAATCAAAAAAAAGAAAAAAAAAGTTGAAACGCGCAATAAGATCGAGGGATCTAGTGGCAATGCCCCAAAAACAGCGTAAAGAGATGAGTTGCATTCGCGATGTAGGTCCTGAGCCAAACCGGAAAGGCGACCACCTTAGATGACGCATACCGCAACTGAGGATCTAGACCAGGCCGAACAGGCGCCCACCTAGAAAGTAGAGAAATTCTAAGCGAACAACACTAATCCAGAGTTTCATCTACTTTATACGAATGGAGTACTAACTCAATGATTTCGAGAAAGCGGCCACTGCTCTCCTTAATCCAGACCTGGGAGAGGCAGTAAAAACAATAGTTCACGCAGCGATTCACATCGTCGATGAGCTGAAGAAGGAGGATAAAAAGGCCCAAAAAGCCTTTTCGATGGAGATTGTCGAGGTGGATCCAGACGACATTACTCCTTTCCCCAGCCGAGTACAAGATCCCAACCTTGATTCGCAAGAACTACTGTCGGCAAATACCGGTTCGGCGATCTCGACACAGTGCCTGATGCGAGACGCAGCTACTAGATAGTAGGTTTCTCTGCCTCAAGGACTAAGGGGCAATGAAAATCACTATTTCTCAGCCGAAAGGTTATTGGAAATAGCCAGATATAATAGCGGCATTTCGAGAAAGGCCTCCAAGTGCAGCAACAAGACTGGTTGAAGCTACGGGCGCTCCACTGCGTAGTTTATCGTCGCTTCGACGAGTTTTGTCAAGGATCTGGATATTACGGGGACCTGGGCGATTGGTTAACGATGGCCGCGAATAGGAAGGAGCTCGCGCACTAGATTATCATCAAAATACTGGATGCAATGGAAGTTGGCAGCCCAACCGGCGACCGACGTTAACGGCTACGTCGACAGCGACTGTGTATAATCCTTTGATATTACCCGAGACAGCGAGACGAATGGCATAGAGCGTGATGATCAACATTGCTAACTCATAACACTGATCGGTGCTAATTAACATCTTGATTCCACAGAGAAGTCAGGAAAACATAGTGAGAATACGCGTGGTTGAAATGCCACCCCGGACGCCGAAAGAGATGGGATTAGCCCAAGGGGACACGTCCCCTTTCGACACGGAAGGCTGTCGCATTTGCAACTACCTCGGCGTCATTAAGACGTCCTGTTGGCTTGGCTGGAAATTACATAAATGGATTGGCAAGGTTTACCACCAGGGACATAAGGATGGTGCGCTGGAATGTGCCAGAGCCAGGGGACGGTCGCTCATGACAATAAAGCTTTCAACCTATTAAGCCTACGTCCATTAACGATACCCATTCTTTACATAATTCAACAAGTGACACGCTACAATCAACGATTCGCGTTCGCACGATCGTCTCGGGGAAGACTGTAACGATTGGCAATGGTTGCGTGTCGGTCACACGAGCAAACATAAACGCGCGGAATGGCTTTATTTAGTGATCATAAACAGCGTGCTCGTTGCGCTTGATAAAGTATACATCCTAGGTATTTCTTAACCAGTGCGTGATCCTCCATGCAAACCAATTCCAAGCCGATAAGCGCTTTCCAGTGCAAAGAGGTGAATTTCGCAGCTCAGCGACCTTTGATGCCGTATGCAATCTCTCCGAGAATAGCTGCTTCGTCTTTAGGAGAAAGTCAACAAGCCTCGACGTCATCTACCAGTTGGCTGGCCAGTAACTGAGATCGAACAAGGTAGTGTCCGATTTTGTGTACCTACGCCTGACGTACACCACGAGCGAATTACCGTTAAGGATGTTATACATTTCTTTTCTCTCTCGCGCCACTCGATTTTTTATGTGCATCCGGTCTTAAGCTTTTATTTATAAAAATTCTAGTATATTTTCATTTATAATTTTCAGATTAAAATTGGAATTAAATATTTTCAAACAATAGTGATAGTTTGTAGATTGAAAAATTATATAAAAATCGATGAAAGGTTATTCCTGTAAATGTGCTTTATAACATATTCCCGTTATAAAAAATTAAAAAATCAAAATTATAAGTTAACGTTTACATCAATAAAAATGAAATTCATTACATAAACATTAAATTAAATTATTTTATTACCTATGACTAAGCTCCCGTTTGTCAGTCCTTAGTTCATGACTTCCTTCGTTAAAACAATCTAGATCCTGTTCACTACGATCGTTTCTTCTCATATTGCCAAAGTTGATGTTTATTGCATCCATCGTTTTTCAAGAAAATACTATTCCTACAAAATACATTAATTACCTTAAATCGTAGTCTACAAATCTGAAACCATGCAGAGTGTAAATATATCATTGAAATTTACAATAAAATATTGCTTCTAATCTACGGGAAATATTTTACAGGAGTAAATTTTGAATGAATAATTTTTCAAAAGTACTTAATTTTCTACAAATTCATTATATTGAATTGTGACGAAGGGTAGTTAGCTTGCCCTTTGTCTGCTGTCCCTTCATTTCCTCTGCTCTCGATAAGACATAATGGTCAGGTTGAGCGCAGAGAGAAAATGCGCCTAATTAGTCTCCGTTGTTTCAGTCATCGATGATTATGGAACGAAACCGAGCATACCCGAAGAAGAGCGCTTCAAAGCAACAGCAAAGGAGAAAACCAAGATTCTTTGCATAAACAGCGACTCTTCTAAAACGCGGATTGCCAAGGCGATTCTGTTACCGGGCGATTCGCGACTTGTTCACCATCAGTAGTAGAAATAAGGTCCGCGCGTTCTTGGTATTGTTTGTTAATAATAAGTAATGTGAGTTAATGTGTTATAATTATTTGTAATAGTATTAATTCTTGCGAGTCAGTTTGTTTGTGTGTTTTATGTTGTTAACAAGTTTGCGTTAAATTTCGAAAGTGCACGCGTTAAATCATTTATTTACTAATCCTTTTTCCTCCTCTCCTTTTTTATCGTTGAAAGCGAAAGCATCTCTCTTACTGATGGCAAAGTGCTTAGGCGACGAGACAACTTTGTTACAGAATATTTACAGATTCATTACATATAACGAAAATATTTAAAGATTTCAGAATAAATAAACTTCAATACACTATAAAACTTACATTTAGCCATAAAACAAGTAAACCTAAAAGCGTCGGAGGCTAAATTATATCTATAGGGGTAACGCTAGATATTCGAATTTTTTAGTAGTGTGTAGGTAAGATAGATCAGCGGATCCGACACTAAGATGGGAAGTGCCACACATAGCACTTTTTCTACTTTTGAAAAAATATAAGATCATTTTTATAGCTTCTGGAAAATATATTTATCGTGAAATTTTTGTAACTTGATGTAAAGAAACAGTATATGCGTCTTCTTTTTCATAGAGCTGAAATAAGTATTGGTTTGAATAAAAAAGTTATATCTATATTGATCGTTACAAATTCAATAGAAATTTAATTGAATATAACTTATAATATTTTCAACAATTTGAAAACAGAAAACAGTTTGAAACATTGAATATTAATTAAGTCGATTCAATTTATTTATTAATTGACATAAAAAATGTATCTTATATATCGAGGTCGACCAACTAGGAAACACCGCAAACGTCTTAATGCAGGAAGAAAACGAAAAGTACCAGAAAATATTTCATAACGCTCAGTATATAAGCGAACCCATGAATTACTTAAATTACCACCAGAGTACGAAGTTCGTGTTATAAAATTAACAGCTTTTAAGTCATAAATAAAATGAAAATAAAAGTCAAAATAAATAACTAGTTCAACATAACTTAGATATAAATTGTAATACCGGCAAACGAGCAGTAGCTTGAAATAACGACACTTTTACTGAATTTAAAGCTTTGGTTATTAACGATGTGACGAGAGCAGGCCATGTGTCGGTCTCTCGTCTGCGTTCTCCCTCCTCCACTCGGCAAGGCGTGTTGGCCAACGTTAGGCGCATTAAAGTATGCGCCTAACACTTGGTCTTTTTGTTTCCGCGCCAAGGACGGGCCAGCGCAGTTGAGCGCAAGAAAAAGTTGAGGAGCGCGGAGAGAGAGTGAAAAAAAGAGAGAGAGAGAGAGTATTAGGCCCATGCAGGAATTGGCAGGCGCGCAACGCGTGACTGATAAGCGGCGCGTCGCGTGCCGCCTAACTAATAGGTCAAGGTAGGGAGAGGAGCGAGCGCCGCTGAGCGGCTGCAACACGAGCGCAAGAATACGTGCTTGAGCGAGTCGAAGCCTAGTCCTACTAGAGTGCAGTAGTCCTGCTAGAGAGTGCAGTTTAGGATAGCTGGAAGGAAGGTCAACCCTACCGGCAACAGCTTTGTCTGCGACCGCAGCCAGCCCACCCCTGCAAGGAGAGTCAACGTCGCCTGTGGATACCTGGTCAGCGATAGCAGCCAGCAGCTAGCAACGATCTGACCAGCGACGACGACCGGTACTTAATTAATCCTGCGGCAGCACATCGCCCGGGTTCCACGACGTTGCTAGGAGCGGTGAACAAAGGTCAAGCCTTCTTTTCTTCTTTCTCTCTACACTCTCTCTCTCTGGTGATGCGACTACCGGTGCGCGTTGAATAGGATAGCCATCCACGTGCCGGCTATCTAAAGGTTCGCGCTTAAGTTTAATTTGTAGTAACGTAAGTTGCGACCGGCGAATTGTCCAGGCGCTCACGTGCCGGGCAGTTCATCCGGTATAGGTTCCCGTAATTTAAGTAAGTTTGTGATAGGTTAAGTGCGCGATTGGATATTAAGACGAAATGCGAAATATTTATTTGTGAATACTATGAGTAGTTTATTATTCTATTGTGTAGTTGGTTAGTTAGAAATTAGACTATGTTATGCGCGCGTATGTTTAGTTTGAACAATGATTAATAATAATAGGTTGTAAGTGAGATTTGATTTCTGTCTTTATATAATTCATTTATCAACCTCTCCTCGTTCTTCTCCCTCAATTGCCTTGAGCGAAAGTGCCTCACTTACCCCGCGAAGAATTGGTAACAAAGGATCGAGTTTTGTTACATGGCATCCCTTGTGAGTTTGGCAATTGAGAGACAAATAAGAGAAATGGTTTGATAATGAATTTTAGGAATAACGGTTAACTGATTTTCTTTGTGAAATAAGGGCAAAAGAATGCGCGTAAAAGAATTTCGAGTTTTCAGTATTTTGAATTCTTTGTTAGTGCTTGCCAGTGACCTTTCTTAGTAGCGGTGTCGGATGACAACGGTGCGTCATTGAGTCGCTTTGACGCTAGACGACTGCGTTCTTTCCTCGCTTTAGTTTTTCTTTGTTTTAAGAATTTTACTAAACTGCCTATTCAAAAATTACGGTAACTAAATTTTGATAAATTATAATTTCTTTCCTTAGGCGTAAGCAAGGCGATTTCTTGCCGGCTTATAGCTTGGAAAGAAATTAGTTAGTAAGGTATCAGGTTACACGGACCGGTCGAGACTTGCTTAGCCCCATAAGCTCGCGTCGTAGTCAAGTTACAGATTTTAATTTTTAGAAATAACAATGTCGCTAGCATGTAGAGATAAAATAGTCTTGCGCAGAATATTACGCGATGCGCATGCAAAAAAATTAAAACGCAAAATTGATTCCACAGAACTGGCTGTTCTGTTGGAATTAATGCGCTATCGCGAACTTAGCTTACACGGTGATCTTGAGGAGTTACAAACCCGGTATTTTCGATATATGCTGTTAAGAAAGCGGCCAGATTTGCAGCCACCGTTGCGCTCGAGCTATTTTGCGTCAGGCCGAATCCCGGAAAAGCTGTACGATGAACAGCAAGAAACGACGGTAAGCAGTGCGCGGAACGCGAACCTGGGCGATGAATTCGCGGTAACTGCAGCACCTTTGGCGGCCGAATTATCATGTGAACAAGAGCAGGCAACACAGGCAAGAGCAAGTGTTGCCGCTCCTTGTGAACAAATTCGACCGTCGGGCGAAAATGCAGTCGCGCTCGGTAATAACGACGTGTTACCGATGGCGGCTCGCTCGCCGTCGGACAACAGGACCGAACGCGCACGCGAACAAGTCGCGCAAAACCAAAGCGAGCGTAGCACTAGTGCGATAAGCCAAATTTGGGGAGCCCTCACAGCAGTACCGCGTTGGATATATAGACGAGAAGTGCGGCAAGGTGTTACAGACGGCGCGAATACAGTATTTAGAGTTGAAAGAGAGGCGATGCACAGTAGAGCGGCTCAGGCCGAACAGCAGGCTTTATTGCCGCCTCAGGCCAAGCCGCTCGGCGACCGCGAGACGCTAAACGCGCCAGCGGTTGCGACTGAGCCATCGGCCCACGTGAACGCACCAAACAATAGAGCAGGTAGTACATTTCTCTATGCCAATTCAAGTAGATCGGCGAGCACGAAATATCACGCGCCTACAGTAAGTTCATGGGTTTCAACTGTTCAATGTTTCAATGACTGGGAGCGCGAGGTACGGGTAACTACTAGAGAGGAAGCGGAAATACCAGCTCCATTAGGTGAAGGTTCGATTATTAGCGAGGAAAGCGTAATGAGCATAAGGCGACCTAAACAAAAGCAGGTGAGACAGGTAGAAAATATCAGTGGAAGCGACACTAGCTCGAGTCTATCGGATACTGATAGCTGCAACACCTATAAAGTTAAATCGCCGCGGAAAACCAAGAAAGTAAGAGCGGAAAGACCAAGCAAAAAGAATGCTCCTCCAAGAATCAAGTATATAAATGGTATACCTGCGGATGGAGTAAGCGCGCTCAATGCCTGGTCTCTCCGTTTTTCCGGTCAGGATAGTATTAACGCACTAAGTTTTCTATCAGGTTTGAGTAATTGCCAGCGCTATTATGGCATCTCGGATGAAGAGATGCTGATAGCAATAAGCACTGCATTCCACGATAAGGCACGTTCGTGGTATGAGGTTAATCGCGGTATGTGGAGGACGCTGAAAGACTTTAAAAAGAGTTTTTCTAGCGAATTCTGTCGACGACTGAACAGAGAACAACTTTACGGCGGATTGCGTCAAAGAACACAGGGCGAGAATGAGAACATTACGGACTATATCGCGGCTTTTAAGACGATTTTACGCCGTTTTGATCCGCCCATTTCGGTGAGACGCCAGTTAGCTATGATTATAGAGGGTCTACATCCAAGATATAAGCGATATCTTGAAACTAAGACCTTCTCGGATCTAAATAGTTTTAAAGAAGCGGGTATGGCGCTCGAAGATCGCATGGCCGGTTGGAAAAGGTGGCTAAAGCCGCCCACGGCTGACGTAACGCTAATTCCGGAATCCGCGTACACAGA